CACCCACCCACATCCACTCATGTATTTATCCAACCTATTTTTAAAGCTACACAACGTTCTGGCCTCTATAACTGTACTCGGGAGTTTGTTCCACTCATCCACAACTCTATTACCAAACCAGTACTTTCCTATATCCTTCCTGAATCTGAATTTTTCCAACTTAAAACCATTGCTGCGAGTCCTGTCTAGGCTAGATATTTTCAGCACACTATTTACATCCCCTTTATTTATTCCTGTCTTCCATTTATACACCTCAATCATATCCCCCCTAATTCTATGTCTTTCTAGAGAGTGCAGATTCAGGGCCCTTAGTCTATCCTCGTAGGGAAGGTTTCTGATACATGGGATCAACTTTGTCATCCTCCTTTGTACATTTTCCAGAGAATTTATATCCATCCTGTAATACGGTGACCAAAACTGTGCAGCATAATCTAAATGAGGCCTAACCAAGGATGTATAGAGTTGAAGAACAACCTGAGGACTCCTATTATTTATGCTTCTTGATATGAAGCCAAGGATTCTATTAGCTTTATTGCGAACACTTATGCACTGTTGTCTTGGTTTCAGATTACTGCTAACCAGAACTCCTAAATCTTTTTCGCAATCCGTAATATTAAGATCTACATTATTTAGTTTATATGTGGCATGGTTATTGTCCTGTCCAACATTTAGAACTTTGCATTTGTCTATATTAAACTGCATCTGCCACTTCTCTGACCACTGCATCAGTCTATTCAAATCTTCCTGGAGTGCTCGAATGTCCTCGTCAGAATGAATTCGACGGCCTATTTTGGTGTCATCGGCAAACTTGCCGATGTCGCTCTTTATGCCCTCATCTATGTCGTTTATGTAGATTGTGAACAGCAGGGGGCCCAACACTGACCCCTGTGGAACACCGCTCGTGACGCTTCCCCACTCTGATTTCTCCCCATTTATGCAAACTCTCTGCTGCCTATTTGTCAACCATGCCTCTATCCAGGAAAAAATTTCTCCTCCTATTCCATGTGCCTTAATTTTCCTCAATAGTCTCTGATGTGGGACCCTGTCAAAAGCCTTACTGAAGTCCATATACACAATATCATATTCATTACCATGATCTACCTCCTCAAATACCTTAGTGAAAAAAGTTAATAAATTCGTAAGGCAGGAACGCCCCTTTGTAAAACCATGCTGAGATTCGTTGATTAATTTATGCTTTTCAAGGTGGCTACGAACTGCCTTGGCAATTATTGATTCCATAAATTTTCCCACTATGGAGGTTAGGCTTATTGGTCTATAGTTCGAAGCTAAGGACCTGTCACCTGTTTTGAAAATAGGTATCACATTTGCCATTTTCCACTTATCTGGCACCATGCCAGTTTGTAGTGATATGTTGAAAAGATTAGCCAAAGATGTGCTGAGCTCCTCTTTACATTCCTTTAGAACCCTTGCATACAGTTCATCAGGGCCTGGGGATTTGTTAGGTTTTAATTTATCTATTTGCCTAAGGACCATGTCACTTGTGACCCTAATCGTGCACAGTTTATTATCGTCCTGTTCTACATAATTTATCATTACTGGAATATCGCTGGTATCCTCATGTGTAAAAACTGAGAGGAAGTATGTGTTAAAAATTCTACACATTTCCTTATCACTGTCAGTGAGCTGAGACGAGGAACTTTTGAGTGGGCCTATCTTGTCCCTGATCTTACTTCTGTATACCTGAAAGAATCCTTTTGGGTTAGTCTTCGATTCTCTTGCAACTTTAACCTCATAATCTCTTTTTGCTTTTCTAATTCCCTTTTTTATTTCTCTCTTTAACTGAATATATCAATTTCTTAATTGCCCCTCTCCTCTTTTGATTTGCCTATATATACCTCTCTTTTGACCAATCAGATATTTTAATCTATTGTTCATCCATTTAGGACCATTTTTGTTTGATCTGATTTCTCTATTTGGAACATAATTTGACTGAGCAGCTAGAACTATGCCCTGGAAAGCATCATATCGGCAACCATCACCACCTACCTGACCCTTAGTCAGGTCATTCCAGTTCAGCCCACCTAAGTAATTTTTCAGTCCTATGAAATCAGCCAAGCGAAAGTCAGGGACGGAGACTTGATTGCCATTATTAGGGGAATTCCATGATATATTAAAACTGAGTGATTTGTGATCACTTTCCCCAAGCTCATCATTAACCTCAAGATTATTAATTAGTGTTTCCCTACTGGCAAAAACCAAGTCAAGGAGGTTATTTCCTCTAGTTGGCTCTGTCACAAACTGTTTTAAAAAACAATCCTGGATCGTATCAAGAAAGTCACCTGACTCTAAATTTCCTGTCAAATTGCTCCAGTCAATCTGTCTATAGTTGAAATCTCCCATTAGCACAACATTTTCGTATGTAGATGCCTTACGAATTTCGTCCCATAGAAGTTTACTGCACTCCCTTTCAAGATTTGGGGCCCTGTAAATCACACCCAAAATTAGTTTTTCTTGACCCTCGAGAAGCTGTAACCAAACAGATTCAGTGGCTGACGCTTCTACTTCTATATCTTGTCTAACACAACAATTTAAATTGTCTCTGACATACATCGCTACTCCACCACCCTTCCTGCTGACCCTGTCAGTGTGGAATAATTTATAGCCTTGTATGTGACATTCAGAGGGCATCTCTCTATCTTTCAGATTGAGCCAGGTCTCTGTTATAGCAATAATATCTATGTTTCCTGCACTTGCAATTAATCTTAGCTCATCTATCTTATTTCTTACACTCCTGCTATTAGTATAGTAAACCTTAAGGGAGCTAGTCCCTTGCTGTCCTCTGCTGTCCCCCTTTGTTTGCTGACCTGATCTATTGTCTTTATTTATAACTTCATGCTGAATGCCTTTATACATTTACTGATTCCAACCCTAGTGTTGCAACCTGCTTGTTTCCCACACACACCCATACCTCTATCTTCTATCAGTTTAAAATCATAGGCATTTCACCAATGCCTTCTCAATTGAGTTTGCAAGTGCTACCACCCCAGCCCCAGAGAGATGTACCCCATCCCTTGCATACATATCATGTTTGCCATAAAAGTTGTTCCAGTTGTCAATGAATGGGATTGCAAGTTCCTTGCAGTAAACTGTCTAGCCAGCAATTTACACCAATTGCCCTAGACAACCATTCATTTCCTACTCCCCTTCTAGGCAAGATGCTACATATGATTGGGACCCCTCCCTTAGACTTAATGAAATCTATAGCTGACCTGTACTTACCTAGCAGCTCTTCTCTCCTACCCTTCCCAATATCATTTCCACCAGCACTGAGACAAATAATGGGCTTGTTCCCATTACCTGACATGATATTATCCAGCCTGTTAACTATGTCCCCAACACCAGCTCCAGGGAAGCACACTATCTCTCATCTTCTTATTCCTATTACAAAAAAGCACGGTCAATATATCTTACCTGAGAGTCACCAACCACAAGAATACGCTTACCTCTGTTAGCAGGGGCAGTAGTACCCTTACCTTCACTGGCCACTGAAGTACATTCATCCTGAAGAACAGAGAAGCAATTTCCTACCTTCAGATCTTCACTCTTAACTTTCCTTATTCTGATTCTCCACTCGCCACTTGTAGCAGGTGCTGGACTGCACCTCACTGCTGGTAGCCGTTGCTACCTCCCCACCTACAGCCTCCTCACAGAGACAGACAGACTGCACCTCACTGCTAGAAGCCTCATTCCCCACAATTCCAGCCACCTCACACTCTCTCCCAGACCCATTGAGGTGGACCTTCAGCCTCCTAATCTCCTCCTGGAGAAGCAAGACCTCCTCCTTCAACTCTCCAACCTCAATTTTTAAAACACTGCAGAAGCAAGCCATGCTTTGTAACCGTCCACGCTAATCCCCAAAGCAGCTCAGGGTCTGTGACCTCACGTAACGACTGACCACTGACCACATATGGATGAATGTATCAAAGAACATTAGAAAAAAATTCTTGAAAATCTACAGGAAGTCAACAAGTGACCACCTAAGGTCACTTAAGTACGGTGATGAAATTAAGTACTGGAGAATGCAGCCTGAGAGTTCTGCCTGGAAGTTAACAATATGGAGGAAAAAAAAAAAAAAACATACAGTACACTCATTACTCAAAATATTTTTGAAGTTTGAGACACTTGTGTAACACATGGGAATCTTTATTGAAGAAACGTTTTGCCACACAGTGGCTTCATCAGTCCAATACAGAGCAGAAAAGTGTAAGGAGAGAAGGAGTTTGAAGTAATCTCCCTGAGCCTGGAATTGATGTGTTCAGTCCATCACTCTTGTAGAAAGTACAGCATAGGGCCAGAGAAGTGGCTTACATACTGTAGTCAGGTGAGTCGAAACAGGAGGAGTCGGGATCATAGTGGAACCATCCACTAGTGTGTGTCAATCTTCAACTTGTCAGTTTTCAAAACCATTCATCACATCTGTCAGACACTGCAACATCATGGGATCTTGATACAAGAAATTCTTCAACACTTGTACAACTTTTGGACGAAGATCTACTTACATTAGTGGAGGGTTCCACTGTGATCCCGCCTCCTCCTGCTTCAACTCACCTGACTACAGTAAAGCAGGGCCCTCCTGAACAGATATAGTGAACTTATGTTTGCAAATAACAATACAGTGGCAGACTCTGGTACAAATAGTGCAAGGACACCAAAGCCTATATTACACCAGAAAACAGACATAAGCAGAACCATAAAATAGTATCCATGGGTAAAGAAAGAGGCAGAAAGCAATAATATGCAGAAAAAGTAAATTAAAAGAAAAATATTGCAGTAACTAAGAAATAGTTGGAACCCAAATTTCCCTACTGCCATACACAGAAAAAGAAAATGCAATCCCAGGTGAAAAAGCTGAAGGATTTCTGAAAATGACACTAATACTGTATATGAAGAACCCATGATGATTCAGGGTTCCCTGCACCCTAGACAATAAATTAATATTAAAAAACTGTTAGTACTAACACTATTAAACAAATAGTTACCAAAGTCTGGCTGCAGTCTGATGCACTCATCGCAGTCCTTAAGTCCCAGGTTAAACTCTGCCAGTTTGGTGTAACAAGCAGCTCTGTTGCTGTATAGTTTAGCATCTTCTGGATTACGCCGAATGGCCTCAGAATAATGTTTAATTGCTGAAGGGTAGTCACCCTTCCTGAAGCACTCGTTCCCTTTTGTCTTTTCCTCTTCTGCCTTTGCAGGATCAATGTAAGCCAACCGCTCTTGCTCTTTTATTACCTTTTCTAACTGAAATTGAGACATCAACATGCAAGGCAAATTTCATTATGAAAATTCATTAATAATTGGTTAACTAACACCGATTCAATTTTTAACACATCGGTTATTTCCTACTGAGGCAGGATGACCCGAAAGAAGAAACTAATTCACCTAGTATATTATTTGTGTGTGTTACATATAAATTTTCATCAATACTACATAAAAATTTACTTTTTATAAATGAATTCAGGCAACCTTTGAGTGCATAAACACCAAACACCGTTTTAATCCAAGTGTGTGTTTCATTTTTACTTATCAAATACAGAAAAATCTCATATTGCACATCCAGGGATCAAACTTTAATAAATCACAATTGAATCATACCCAAGTCCATGCTGAGTGGAAAAGTGACCAATCTATCATGACGGAGCTTAGAAAATAATACAAACATCTTGTATGTATTGTATGCAAACATCTTGTACTGTGTATTTACCTTCTGCACCTATGGCAAGGCCACTGCTATAAGTGTAAAACTATTCAAGTTTTGGAAAATAAAAGTTATGCTTAAAGACAGTACATGTGTGATGCAGATGGCCTGTGCCTTTATAAGAACATAAGAAAGAAGGAACACTGCAGCAAGCCTACTGGCCCATGCGAGGCAGGTTCAAGTCTCCTACCGGCTTAAGCCAATGCCCCAACCTAGTCAGGTCAGGTCACATTCACCAAAGGAAGGAGCACGACATCTGACCTAGTAGCACAAGCTAGTCAGGTCAAGCTCACACCCACTTATGTATTTATGTAACCTTTTTTTAAACTACACAATGTTTTAGCCTCTATAACTGTACTCTGGAGTTTGTTCCACTCATCGATAACTATTGCCAAACCAGTGCTTCCCTATATCCTTCCTGAATCTGAATTTTTCCAGCTTAAAGCCATTGCTGAGAGTCCTGTCTAGGCTAGATATTTTTAGCATGCTATTTACATCCCCTTTATTTATTCCTGTCTTCCATTTATACACCACAATCATATCCCCCCCTAATTCTACGCCTTTCTAGAGTGCAAATCCAGGGCCTGAGAGTGCAATTCATTCAATAAGGATAAGAGCTTGTGCAGTTAGTAAACCAGCTCATGTCCTCCTGAAAACTAAAGAGATCACTACAGATGGAAAAGTAACAATGTGGAGATTAAACGGAAAATAAGAAAAGATGCGTTATTGCCCAGATAAGGGAGAAACAATATCATACAGTAAAACAATAGGAAGGAAAACCCTCAAGTGTTTGTTTAGTTCTGGAGGATTTAATTACTTTAATTTAAAGGCCTGGCACAACACTGGCTTGCATGTCAGATTTACAGTGGACCCCTGACCAACGGCAGCATCAGCAAACGCCAAATTCATCTAACTGTGCTCTTTGGCGTAAAAATATTGGCTCTACCAACGGCGAAAAACTCATCTAATGGCTTTCGTCCTGAACGTGCCCATGCGGCCTGAGCGGGCCCAGCCACTCCAAGACTCAGTGTGCAATGTTTACAAGCCGTTTCGGTCGATTCCACGAGTACCTGCGATATATTTTGTATTATTCAGTTTTTTTTAGTGCTTGTAACAGCTAAATAAGCCACCATGGGCCCCAAGAAAGTTTCTAGTGCTAACCCTATGGTAAAAAGGGCAAGAAATACTATTGTGCCATGGTCAGCTGCTGCTGCACCACGGTGTGGAGAGACTGTTGTTGGTGTGGCTGATCGAGAATACCGAGAAACAATTAACCCCAGAGGGTTAGCTACCCAGGATAAGTCAAGAAAGTCAGTGCGTCATCGAGGACTAACTTATTTCTATTGGGGTCCTTAATGTTGTCCCCCAGGATGCGACCCACACAAGTCGACTAACACCCAGGTGAACAGGAAAAAATGCCTGGAACTAGTGCTCATATTGGTGAATTTAAGGCCAGCAAAGGTTGGGGTTGAGAGATTTAAGAATCGTAATGGCATACACGGTGATAAGGCATGGCGAAGCTGAAAAATTCCAACCCCAACAAGTGTTTAATTGTGACGAAACAGGCCTGTTCTGGAAGAAAATGCCAAACAGGACCTACATTACTCATTACTCAGGAGGAAAAGGCACTCCCAGGACACAAGCCTATGAAAGACAGGGTAACTCTCATGTTTTGTTGTAATGCTAGTGGGGATTGCAAAGTGAAGCCTTTACTCATGTATCACTGAAAATCCCAGTGTGTTCAAGAAAAACAGTGTCTCATCACTTAACAATACTCTTCAATAAAGGTAAGTGTCATTTTAGAATTTATTTATGTATGTATTGGGCATGTCTCATTGTTTTCTGTTTAGGGAAATGTATATTTCATGTAGAAAAAAATCATTTTTTTATGGGGAAAATTAATTCGACTACTGGCTAATTCAACCAAAGGCTAGCTCTCTGGAACGGATTAAAGCCGTTGGTCGAGGGTCCACGATCATCTGATTAGGAAAAAAAAAAAAAAAAAAAAAAGTGCTGGCTGTTTCTGGGCTGCAAAGACTTACCAGGCTCATCCTGGTGTCCCTGCCCCAATATGCAACACATGACCTTGAACCTAGAGTACGGTACTGTATTTTCTCTCTCTCTAATGGACTGATAAATCCCTGGCAACCAAAATGTCCTAATAGAGCTTGTGGGTCCTGCATTCTGGTATTTAACCCTGTCACTTTGTGACCTAAAACAGTCCTGTCAATGATGCAATTTAAAATTTTTTTCTTCTAAAATTGTAAAGAAACTTTCCTCGAGGAATTTAGACAATACAAAATTTAACACAAAAATTCTGGAATTATGCAGTCACAAAGGTGGAGGTTAGAGAGAACTTTAAGTAATTGTGATTTCACCTATTTTGAGGCCTATTTTAGGCAAATTCCATTGCTCAGTCCATTCCAATTCCTGGCAATTTCACTAGTATGCCTTCTGTTCTATAAATAGAGCACAAGAAATTGCTCATTTGCCTATCAGAACTACCTTATAATTTTTTTTTTAAAGAATTCAACAAATTCCAATATAAAAACAGTCCAAGATAAAACACTGTAGGCAATCTAGCTACTAAAACCTTTCCTTTTTATTATTTTTATTAACACACTGGCCGATTCCCACCAAGGCAGGGTGGCCTGAAAAAGAAAAACTTTCACCATCATTCACTCCATCACTGTCTTGCCAGAAGGGTGCTTTACACTACAGTTTCCTCTGTTCATTAATCACATTCCCAGGCCCATCCTATATCACAGTTGCCATCCATTTTGAATACATCACAAAAATATTGAAGTTTTACTTATTTCTCAGCTAATAACATGACTGGTCATAGTTTAGGTCCTCACAATAATTGAAGCAGACCTCTTAGAAAGACATAAAACAGACAAGGGGTGAAAGGCCCTACCTTTTCTCAGAGATAAGATCAAAAGTCTATATTTCTGCTATTTAAAGACTTATTTCAGGCAACTTCCAATCTGAAATCAACTAAAATCACCTCCATTTCACCAAACTATCAACAGACACCAAGAAACAGCCAAAAAATTAATAATGTAAACCATTCTAGAAAACACCTCAAATTTGTTACTTTAACCTAAACATTAGATTTCAGATTTGATTTATGCATGCACTCCACACTCATTGTACAGAACCATTCCCTCATGTCTAGGCCAAATTTTACCACTCACAGCATATCTGAGGGCACTATGATTAATAGGGAGTTCTAAGCAAGTGGCATACCCTTATGTGAGAATGAAAGGTTTATCATTTACGGCTTACTTCTACTTACTTTCACCCTCTTTTCCTTAATACTTTTTAACCTGCTTCTTCATAAATTCCTCCACTGATCTTACCTCATCAATTCAATGTGCTCGACAACCACAATGATACATGGATATCCCAGTGAGAGATACAAGTTTACTGAAAAATATTAATTTTCAACACACACTTGCACCTCACCTTCATAAAATTACATATGCAACACTTGCCACGTCACTCCCTAATCCACTGTATATGGATTTTCCAAACCATTAAAAGCAACAGTGTAAATATTTCTTACCTTACTCAAAAGCTCTTTAGTTTCAGGTGTGCGGTGCTCTGATAAAGACTTTTCATAATAGGTCCTTGCCTTGCCATAGTCCTGTGAATGTATACAAAAATAACTCTTAAAAAATTGATATATTACTTTAAATTCATAAGGTTGTATAATTTACAAAAAACTAGAGCTGTTTGACCCAACATGGTTAGTAACATGATTTTGGTACTGGAAAGTCATGCCTGTCACAACTGCTAAACCACTATTACTGAACTACAGAGGCATTTGGAGAAAACCAAAGCGTAGATGTGAAGTACATAGATTTCTGCAAAGGTATTTGCCAGATGATATCATACGGTGCTTGCACACAAAATGAGAGCCACAGGCATAATGGGGAAGGTAGGTAGATCGATTTTTAAGTTTCTAACACTGAACAAAGTAGCAGTAAATAACAAAATCTAGCATTAGCAAGGTAAATAGTTTAGTATTCTTATGCTACTGTTCTGGCTCCTCTGCTGTTTCTTATCCTCATAGAAGGCAGACAAAAGCCCCCATTACAGTTTTGTATCATTTACAGATGACACTAAAATAAGAAAGAAAGTCACTTCAATAAAAGACACTGAAAAATTGCAGGAAGATATGAGCAGGGGTTTCTAGAAGGCAGTGAAGAACATGACATTGAATAATAAGTTCCAGCTGCTTAGATATGGAAAGAACGAAAAAATCAACAGGAAAACTGTACACAAAACTCAAGAGGATCATCAAATAGAACAAAAGGAACACACAAGACCAGGGAATAATTATGTCGGCTGACCTTTTTTTTTTTCAAGAACACTGACAAATGTCACAACAACCAGGAAGTTAATGGGGTGGATAATGAGAACTTTCAGAACAAGGGAAATAGTGCCAATGATAACACTTTTTAAATCACTTGTGCTCTCTCATTTAGAATATTGATAGGCGTTGATCCAATTCACAGCAGGAGAGAGATCAGAGCTACAACTAATACAGAGTTCCTTTACCCTCAGCATAGCCAAAGACACATTCAAATATGTACTCACTGGAATGGAGAAGAGATACATAATACAGTGGAACCTGTGTTAGAATGTACCGGACCTCAAACAAACCTCAAAAAAAAAAAAAACTACTGACCAGGTCTTTGAACATTTTTCTGGAGTCAGAACGTGCTGCCTTGTTTAAAATTCAGTTGTAAAAAAAACTTTACATGAAAGCCCTGTTTCAAAAGTGCTTTGAAGTGACCTCTGACCTAACTATCAGATTTTAGGAAGAGGCAATTCAACATCCTCCAGTGTGTGAGGCTGATAATTAAAGCTTGGGAAACACTATTTTGGACATTGAACTTTTCGCAGTTCAAACACCATCTAGGACCCAATTAAGTTCGAACACCAAGGCTCCACTGCACATACCTGAAAAGCTGCTGAGGGTCTTTGTTCCATATCCCCACACTGCCATAACATACATGAGTAAGAGATAGGGGAGAAAGTGCAAAATAAACCCAGTGAAAAGGAGGGGTCCAGTGGGCACAATAAGGACATTGCATCAACATCCCTTGTTCCAGACTATTCAACACCTTACCAGAAGATATCAAACTGATGGAACAAGTGCATAAGTCTTCAAGAGAAAACTGGATAAATATCTTCCCAGATGCCAGATCAACAAAGCTGTGGTGGACATATGGGTCAGCAGGTTACCAGCAGCAACAGCATGATTAATCAGCCATGCACCAGACAAGTCTGCAGGCTTCAGTAGAAAAATTCTGGAAACTCAAAGGTATGCATGCACAAATGAGCAAGGGAATGAATGCACAAGTGAATGAGGAAATGGATGCACAAATAAATGAGAGAATGCATGCATAACTGAATGAATGAATGCAAATGAATATACACTAATTAATTTTTATAAAGGTCCACAAAAATCAGTTACATCACAAAAATACATACATTACTGATGTTCAATATTACTGACAATATAAACTGGCCTTACAACAGATCTGGTAAGATTAAACTACATTTATCATGTTAATTTTATCAATTTTAGTAGTGTTAAGACAGTACGTGAAATATTTGTTCCAAAATTCACTTTATTAAAAAAGAAAAAAAAAAAAAAGATGAACTCGACCTGCCCTAAGGCATTTGCCTACTAATTATACTTAATTGTAATCTATCTAGATATACTCAAAGGGTAGTGACATAATACAAACAGGGCATGCTTTAGTACAGACAGGTGCCTTACCTTAAGTGCCTTGGTGGCATTACCAGCCCTAGTAAAAGCCTTTGCTATAAGCTTGAAGTCTGCTCTATTCTCTCTGCCAATTTCAACAGCCTTCTCACAAGTAGCAATACACTGCTGGTAATCTTGCATCTCAAAATACACAG